AGCCAGGCTACACTGCAGATTGACTGATATGGACAATCTTTAAAGCCAGTGAATGCAGTGGCTACCTGGGGGGCAGAAGCAGCCGTCTGTACAGTGGTCTTCACACAGCTGTCCTCTCTCTGGGTTAGAGCAGGTGTCAGCACAGGGAATCCCACACTCCTGGTGCTCCATTTTGAAAGGGCACTTCTTAGCTGCAGAGCACACAAAGCTGAAGTCATGAGTCTGAAATGCCTGTCGTCTTGTTTTGCCTCTTATTCTCCTGAGGAGCGTTATATGACTATGTCTCCTGTACACGTCGGACACAAGAGGTTTAAAAGCCGTATAGATCAATGGGAGCTCGGCAGCAGGGTGGTAAACGTACAGCAGAACTCGGCAGTCCTCCATTGCTTGGGCTTCCCTCCAGCGTGCACACACTGGCGTGAGTATTCTGAAAGAGTGTTGCAGAGGCAGAAGGCACTGGTGCTGTTGCCACAGTGACACATGTCCTTGACGCAGGACTGGACAAAGGAGTCAATCGAGATCAGGCCCTTGCAGCTGCTAAATGCAGGACTGGACAGAAGCTGCTCACATATCGGTGTCTGTAGAGGGAAAGTTTACTGTTAGAAGCATAAGAGTAACCCTCAGTCACAGAAGAGCACAATGACAAGGATCTGAGCTGAGTCAATTTACATGGTTCCTTTGGTATTGTTAATTGCTAATCAGTGCTGGAGCTTCCTTAGTACTATTTGCTATTAAAGCTTGAATAATATTTTCGGTAATGGTAATAGAGTCTGAAATTGTCTTAGAAGAGAGGATATATGGTTTGTGCTTCACAGTTTTACATAATATAATGAAAACAATATCAAGAGTGTGATCAAATGTAGTCTGATTAAGGAAATACAGAACTTGTTATAAATCAAAGAGGGCAAAGAAGACAGTTACCAGGTCTGAGCATTTGTCATCAGATGCTGGTGTGGGTTCAACACAGGTTTCTGTTGGGCCATCCATTTTCCAGAAGTTTCCATAGTCGTATGGAGATACTTTCATGCCTTGAAAAAGCAAGATTACTGAGTTGAGGTCCTGCTCTGTACTTTACTGCAGTGATTGTAATGTTCTTTGCAACATCTCTTACTGTACGTTGTCACTGGCAGTTCTAGACCTTTGAATGTGAAGGGGATGGGTGGCTGGATCTAGGGGCTGTGACAGAGCCTGACTGGCAGTAACCTCCCTAGCTGCCCTTCTAATACCCGCTTACCATTTTGAATGAACTCATTATAGAGCTGGACCCCATTGAAGTCCCCACACAGCCCACAGGTCTGGTTTCGGTATTTTTCATCCACTTCCACCTAGACAGTGAAATGAAAACTTTCCTTGAAAATAGCTGATGCTTTTCAATGTAATTAACTTTTTGTGAACTGTAGTAACCAAGTTCTAAACTAATTCAGTATTGTATAATATACTTGCCCAATAAATCATATCAATGTATAAATAATAGCCTAATTATAAAATGCCATTTAGGATTGCGGTGTGTCTTTAAATTTGCGGAGTTGGTAGGAGGCTGTGATAGGAGTTTCTTAGGTGATCTATTAAATTGAGATTTATCTTATCTTTCATTAATCTTTCCTTTGTGAGTGTTTGCTGATGTTGACTAGCTGCTTTACAACTGGGAGTTGGCCTCAAGGTTTCGGTTCTAAGCAATTGCAAAAATCTTGCAAAAGTTTTACAGAAAGGAAAAATTGGTATTTTTAGCGTTCCTAGTGCAATCTGATGGCATGATTATTAGCCATATATTCTACAGTAAAGAGATGACACTTCTGTTATTTGTTTTGTTAAATAAAATTGGAAAATTAGAACATGTAATATGTGTGTACTTCATACCAGGAAGGCATCTTCCTCATTCCACATGGCAACGAGACCCAGCTTGGCAGTGACCTTGATATAGGAGGAGCTCTTCTCAATGAGAACACCAGACTGGCTGAATGGCAGGGGGACTCTGAAAGAGGTGGAAGTCATGGTCTGATCAGA